TTTGTCTAGCTATATGGTTCACTTAATGCTGAGAAATTCCTGCCTGCAAAAACAGAAGCTCAGAGTACATTATTTTAGAATTAGACACTAACTTTGTCCCTTGAGTCTTGCACATTTGCTCCTATCTTTGTTTGACACAGAACTAAACATTTGAGCTCTTCAGAGGTCCATTTTAACCTTTGTTTTCCCACACTGTGCCCTCCCAGGGGGCCTCTCTGCAACTTACCAGTCCTTCACTCTAACCAATCCCCGGCTGCCATTCTCCCTCCCAGTCAATCCTGGCATGGGTCCTAGCCAGCCTCTTTTCTGGCCAATCGGGAGGGGGCAGGAAGTCTGAATATATCCACGCTGAATAAGATATCTTCTATTTCTCTGTATGTTTATTTATACTTGTACATTTTGAAGCAAAGTTGCTACACATACATCCCTTTTGGCCAGATTGAAATAAATCTCTGTGACTTGTCTTTAATTTGGTGAGTTGGTTTCTCTGTCCTGGTCTATTTGGTTTTTAGCATACGGTTCACCAAGCACGGATCCTCTTTAACTATAGTAGATTCATAGGGATCATAGCCTTCTGTGCCCACATGGTACTGCCTTAGCAAACTATAGATCCAAGAGTCCCATTATTTGTTTTATTTATTTTATGTCGTATCAGGGCAACAAGTCAGTTGTATTACATTTCTAACAGAACAAAACAAACAAACAGACAAAACACAAAATTTGCAAGTCTGGTAGCTGATTAAATGTCCTTTGACCAGTATCTGGCCACTTGGAGTGCTTCTGGTGTTGCAGCAAGAAGGTCCTCCATTGTGCATGTGGCAGGGCTCAGGGTGCATTGCAGCAGGTGGTCAGTGGTTTGCTCTTCTTCACACTTGCATGTCGTGGACTCCACTTTGTGGCCCAATTCTTGAGGTTGACTCTGCATCTCATGGTGCTAGAGCGCAGTCTGTTCAGCGCCTTCCAAGTCGCCCAGTCTTCTGTGTGCCTGGGGGGAATCTCTCATTTGGTATCAGCCATTGGTTGAGGTTCTGGGTTTGAGCCTGCCACTTTTGGGCTCTTGCTTGCTGAGGTGTTCTAGCGAGTGTCCCTGTAGATCTTAGAAAACTATTTCTAGATTTAAGTCGTTGACGTGCTGGCTGATACCCAAACAGGGGATGAGCTGGAGATGTCTCTGCCTTGGTCCTTTCACTACTGGCTGCTACTTCCCGGCGGATGTCAGGTGGTGCAATACCGGCTAGCCAGTGTAGTTTCTCCAGTGGTGTAGGGCGCAGACACCCCGTGATAATATGACATGTCTCATTAAGAGCCACATCTACTGTTTTAGTGTGGTGAGATGTGTTCCACACTGGGCATGCGTACTCAGCAGCAGAGTAGCATAGCGCAAGGGCAGTGTCTTCACTGTGTCTGGTTTTGATCCTCAGGTTGTGCCTGTCAGCTTTTGTATGATATTGTTTCTAGCACCCACTTTTTGCTTGATGTTCAGGCAGTGCTTCTTGTAGGTAAGAGCATGGTCCAGAGTGACTCCCAGGTATTTGGGTGTGCTGCAATGCTCCAGTGGGATTCCTTCCCAGGTGATCCTCAGAACTCGGGATGCTTTGTTCTTGAAATAAAAAGCACATGTCTGTGTTTTAGATGGGTTAGGGATCAGCTGGTTTTCCCTGTAATAGGCATTAAGAGCACCTAGAGCTTGGGAGAGCTTCTGTTCTACCATCTCAAAGCTCCCTGCTTGAGCAGTAATGGCACGATCAAGAGTCCCATAGTATTGAGCCATGGCAGTTCAAGTGGCATCAAACTGAATCCTCGGAGCTGCATATGTTGGAAGAACCAGGTCTCATCAGAAGACCAGGCTAAGGGCCTTCTGAATCTACACCTCCCAGGATTACATAGTTCCTGGTGCAGGGGACCTCAAACTAAAGCCTGTGGGCCAGATAAGGTCCAACAAGATAATTTTTCCAGCCCCTGCTAACTCCATTTGCACCACTTTGCCATTCACCATTCATAATTTGTGCACTGTCTCCATTCGCACCCTGTTGACATGCAGTCTTATTTGACATTCACACATCGTTGCCTTTTACGCCCTCTTGCCATTTTCGACTTGCCACTACTGTCGCCATTTATGCCTATGGAGGAAGGAGAGAGGTAGAAAAGGAAAGAAAGTAAGGAAGGGGAGAAATAAAGAAATGAAAGTAGGGAGGGAGGGAGAAAGGGAGGGAGGGAGGGAGAAAGGGAGGGAGGGAGGGAGGGAGAAAGGGAGGGAGGGAGGAAGGAAGGAAGGAAGGAAGGGTGGAGGGGGAAGAAAGAGAGAGAGACCTTCCCAGATTTTTTTTAAAACTGGAGTAAATCTAGATTTCCAGCTTTACGCAGTGTTAAAATTGGCATAGCTGTCTGGATGTTTGTTTTTCTTTTGTAAGCATGTGTTATACTTAAAGTTTTATTAAACTGGTAAATCCTGGCATGCAGATTAGTCGCTCTTTGGCATAAGAACTACTCTTAGCATGAGTTCGACATGCATTCTCCAGAAAGCTGTAGGGCGCCATCGTGATAAAATGTGGTAAAAATAAATGGAAACAGCATTTGTGGATATGGTTCCAACAGAACTCTCCTCTTTGCTGTGCTGGAATAGGAACTTTTACTAGAACTGACCTTGAAAAGCTGAAAAGGCCACTGTCCTAGGGCAGTTTGGCCTTGGTGCTTTGCCCTTCTTTATGGAAAGTGGTGAAAACAACCAATGATGAAGAAGGCTCAACTTGAATTGCAGTGCTATTGATGCTTAAAGGAAGCAGATGGAGTTCTGCTTCAGGGTTCCATGGCTCTAGTTCTATGCCTGGAGAAGCTTTTACGTTTTCACTCTGTAAGGAGCAATATCCTGTTTCTGGAGTCCTCTGTAAGAGTGGCCTTCATTTTTGACCTGCTGCTCTTGAGGTTTCAGGATTCAGCAGTGAGGGTGCTGCTCACATTGATGCTGAAAGGCTTGTTCCTCATGGAGAGGCGAGTGAAGCATTTCTCATGGGGAGGGAAGGAAGGCTGGCATCTTAAATAAAGGCTTTATGATGGTTTTCAAGGGGAAATGTCTGGGGAATTGTAGATGTTGCTGATGTTCTTATTTTGGACGGCCCAAATATTACCTTTTGCGTGTTGGGATCCCTTTTTCCTCATCCGGATTTCTAAAATAACACCGAATTCATGTTATGCAATATATATTTGTACTAGAAATTTGGCAGCACCTAAAAGACATTAAGTAACAGAAACCTTTGACTACTTTGCTTTTTAAAAAGTGCATTAGATACATGGACTAGATGCCCAAGGTTATATCATATTTATACAAATAAAGTGTATTTCACAGACCACCTTTTAATGGAATCTTAAAATGCATCAAGACTGCAAAGAAGCATATGTATTACTTTCAGAATAGATTTCGACTGTCTTTGCTGCTACAAACTAATGATTTAAGTTCCAGATTTACTTTAAATAACTTTGTATTTAAATGTGATCCTGATTCTCTTTTAAAAACCACCCGCAAAAAGTGAAAATCCGTGAAGTAGGGACACTATATATTGCATTCCAAGGGTGAGGCAGAAGCGAGGACATATATATATATATATATATATATATATATATATATATATATATTGCTACCTATCTCTGTTTTGCTTTGCAGTCTCTCTTAATTGGCTGCCTCTCTCCCGAGGGGGAGGATGAAACCCCCTTCTACACTTCATTGTTGTCAGGAGGCAGACTTAGTACGCCGCTCTGGGAAACAGCAACCATTCATAAACTGGGAGGCAAAAACTCATGAAACGGCGAGTCTGCAAAAAGCGAACCGCGAAGTAGTGAGGGAACACTGTATTGTACTACAATTATTATTTGAAGGCTTTGTCCCATAGCCACGTTTTTCTTTCTTTCTTTCTGAAGGCCAGGAGGGAGTGGGCTGACCTGATCTCACTGGGGAGGGAGTTCCACAGCTGAGGGGCCACCACTAAGAAGGCCCTGTTTCTCGTCATGCCTGCGAAGGGCCTCCCCAAAAGATCGTGGCTTATGCGGATGAGGGGGAAAAGGAAGGGGCCTGAGGCTCTTAGGAATTGTGGGAGTTGAAGTCCATATTAATAATATTAATAATAATAATAATAACTTTATTTGTACCCTGCTACCATCTCCCCATGGGACTTGGTGTGGCTTATATGAGCCCAAGCCCACAGTACATCAATAACAAGAGCAATAACAAAAAAAATTCAAATAATAATAAGAAAAAAATAACAAAACAATCAATACAATACAATTAATATAAATCACATAAACAAAAAAACAATAAACAGTAACATGCAAGCATTTAAAAACCAATGGCCGGGCCAAATGTAATAATTTAAAATTTAAAAATAATGCTGGGCATGAACAAGGTAGGATATTTTTCAAAAAGAGGTGCGGGAACGCAGTGAGTCCTAAATCAGTGGTAAAGTGCATTTTGAGGGCATATTGCTGAGAGTTTTCCTTATTCTGGGAAGGCACATTGGAACAACCACGTTTTCAGGCTCCTCTTAAAGACTGCCAGAGTTGGGGCATGTCTGATGCCCTTGGGAAGTGAGTTCCAGAGTTGGGGGGGGGGGGCACCACCAAGAAGGCCCTCCCCCTCGTCCCCACCAATCGCGCCTGGAGGGCCCAAATTTGACCATGCCTGCTTTAGAGGCACTTGTTATCTTGAACTCCTTTTGCTACATGTTTCACGACAAACGGGAGGGAAAGTTTCCTTTTCAATGCGAGGGAATATTTTTGTATCCCACTTTGACTGCCATGGCAACACCTTGTGGCATCCTGGGAGTTGTAGTTCAGGGAGGCGATCTCTAGCATGAGCCGACTGGGGCCTCACTGAACTACAAGCCCCAGAATGCCACAGGATGACGTCACGGACGTTTAATGGAACGTGGGAGCCATCAAACGGCCGTGACGTCATCCTGTGGCATTCTGGGGCTTGTAGTTCAGTGGGGGGGGGGAGAGAGCGCTTTCTTGTCTCTGCGTTTCTTTTCACAGACTTCGCCTCTTCTGAGATCACGTCCGGTAGTTTTCTGTCACGTGACTCTCCGGCAATCCGTGTAAGATGGCGGCGTGCGTGTTGTCGCCGTTGGGGCCTGAAGAGGGAGCCGCAAAACTGAGGTCAGGCCGGGCTTGGCTGGGGAGAAGCCGAAGGGTTGCTTTGGAAACTCAGAAAGCCAGCGGGAGGGGACAGGTTTAGGCGGCGGGGAAATGAAGACAGCTCGGCCCCACTTCATCCGCCTCGGCTCCAAGATTTGGAGCAGGCCTGGGCAAACTTAAGCTTATGCGGCTGAGGGGGAAAAGGAAAGGGCCTGAGGCAGTGAGGAATGGTGGGAGTTGAAGTCCAAACCACCTGGAGGGACCAAGTTTGCCCAGGCCTGCTTTGGAGTCATGAAGTCTGCAGGTTTGTTTGGCACCTGCCCTTTGAGGGCAGAGAAGGCTAAAGCCTTTATAAAACTACAGATCCCATTGCATTGAACTGTGACATTTAAAGTGGTGTTAAACTTCATTAATTCTACGGTGTAGGTGCATCTTTTTTCTCCCCCAAATGAATTGGCATGACACTACATCTGTAACCCAGTAAGAGAATGTTACTGTAAAACATACCTGTATGTATTAATGCTTTAAAGAGGCCAATTATTGTTCTTCTTTGAATATATTTTTCCTTCTTTAATTTTCAGCCACAAAAAGTACAGAGCACTTTTGAAGAAAGAGAAGCGGAAGAAGAAAAGACAAACATTGGCAAAACTGAGAGATGCAGGTGAAACATTCGGTCAGTGTATATAAAAGAAAGGATATCACTGTAAGGGTTTTTTTTTTTGTCATGTCAGGAGTGACTCCTGGTGTGAGAGAATTGGCCGTCTGCAAGGACGTTGCCCAGGGGACGCCTGGATGATTTGATGTTTTTATCATCCTTGTGGGAGGCTTCGGGATGATCTGTTCCCAAATGACAGATGCTGCAGCCAAAAAATTATATACATCAATGATGTACTGTGGGCTTGGGCTCATATAAGCCACACCAAGTCCCTTGGGGAGATGGTAGCAGGGTACAAATAAAGTTATTATTATTATTATTAATATAGTGTCTGGATGAGGTGAAACATTCAGCCAGCGTATATTACATTACATATGTTTTATTGATTAGCCCATTGGCCATATCAAAACATTTAACAAACACAAGGCCAGCGTATATAAAAACAAGGATATCACTGTAAGACATGAGCTGTTCCCAAACAACAGATGCTGTAGCCATACACACACACACACACGTATACACACAATAGGAGTGTAGTGTCTGGATCAGGTGAAACATTCGGTCAATGTAAATAAAAAAGCAAGGGTATCACTGTAAAAATGAGCTGTTCCCAAAAGGCAGATGCTTCAGCCAGGAAAACTATATACATCAGTAATAGTATAGTGTCTGGATCAAGGAAAGTCATGGTGCTCCCTCTATTCTCCTTTGGTCAGATCTCACCTGGAATTATACTGTATCTAATTCTGGGCACCACAATTCAAGAGAGATATTGACAAGTGTCCAGAGAAAAGTGAACCAAAATGTTCAAAGGTTGGAAGCCAAGCCCTATGAGGAGTGGCTTAAAGAACTGAGGATGTTTAGCTTAGAGAAGAAAAGATTGAGAGGAGACATCATGGCCATGTTTAAATATTTCAAAGGATGTCACATTGAGGAGGGGACAAGCTTGTTTCTGCTGCTCTGGACACTAGGACATGGAACAATGGTTTCAAATTAAAAAAACAGGTGCCACCTAAACATTGGGAAAATTTTGTTTACTGCAAGAACTGTTTGATGGTGGAATCTTTGGAAGTCTAAACAATTGACGAATTGTGTTATCAAAGGCTTTCATGGCAGGAATTACTGCATTGCTGTGAGTTTTCTGGGCTGTATGGCCATGTTCCAGAAGCATTGTCTCCTGACGTTTTGCCTACATCTCTGGCAGGCATCCTCAGAGGTTGTGAAGTCTGTTGGAAACTAAGACAAGTGAGATTTATATATCTCTGGAATGTCCAGGGTGGGAGAAAGAACTCTTGTCTGCTTGAGGCAAGTGTGAATGTTTCAGTTGGCCACCTTGATTGAACAAATCGGCATCTTTCAGGAGTGCTGTAGTTGTGTATACTTGCATGGCAATGTATTGGACTAAATGGCTTTTGTAATTTCTTCCAGTGCCATGAGTTTATGACATCTGTCAATATTAACTACTTAAAAAAAATTAAATATCAATGAAAGCTATAAATGACTTTGTGTACAAATACAAGACTAAGATATATTATTTCAACTCCTTAATAATTTATTTAATGTATTGTAATAAAACAGTAATATCTAGAAATTAAATGGTAATTAACTCCTTTTTAAAATAGGAAGTTGTATGTATTTAAAGTATCATTGTCCATGCTTAAGCAGACAATATCTATAGGTTTAGGGAAACTGCAATATTTGTGGACGTATAGAAATGTATATGCATTGAACGAAACAGTCCAATGCGTTCTGAGTTTGCTCTGTGTCATAAAAATGCTGAGAAATGAAGCAGAAAATTAGGGAAGGGAAAGATTGTTTGGTAAACTTGAGAAAATGTGCCAGCGACTAGGATCTTAAGATGTTATTAAATGATAACAAGCAATTACGTTAAAGGGTGATTTTTTTTGTAGAGAAATCAGAGAAAGATGAACACATTTCTGAAGAACTGGATGATGAAGAAATACAACTTGAAGAAGAAAGGTGAATAAAGTTTAATGTGTAATTGACAGCCCAGTTAATTGCATGTTCACTTGGAAGTAAGCTTAGGAACCTTGCTTTAATATCAATTTAGGGAACAGGAATTTGGCCATAGAATATTATTTCAGTGTACTTTGGATTTCTTTTGTTGTATTACTGACTTTGAAGGTACACAGTCCACTGCTTTTAAGCATGCCTTTGCTCATCAAGACTGAAATCTATGGCTTTGATTTTTTAATTTAATCAACAACAGGTGGGCAAAAAGTTTTCAAAGTTCAGTGATGGCCTCTAGCTGCCTTTGGCCTCCTCATAGACCAAAAAGCCTTTGCTCATCAAGGCTTAGCTAATGATGGCAGGGAGCTGGAAGCCTGTGTTTCATTTTGGGCAGCTGGAAGAAAAAAGGGAGAGACTCCACTGTCTGGTAACATATAAAACTTGGAAATGGTGAAACCTGGGAAGTATGGGAGAAAATCTGATAGAAGGGATAAAAGTGGAGTAGAAAAGGGTGTTGTCTGGGAGCCCTGAGCTCAAACTTCCATAATGTTTACATCCAAGCATTATTTGCCTATTAGTTTGCTTTTGTGCAAAATGAGTATTTTCACTGACCATATCTGCCATAGCAAGTATCTTGTGATGGCACCCATTACATTAGGAGCCCCTGGTGGCGCAATGGGTTAAACCCTTGTTACCGACAGGTTAGCAGTTCGAATCGAGGAGAACGGGTTGAGCTCCCTCTCAGCTTCAGCCCCCTATGTGGGGACATGAGAGAAGCATCTCTCTAGGATGGTAAAACATTAAAACATCTGGGCGTCTCCAAGCAACGTTCTTGTAGTCAGCCAATTCTCTCACACCAGAAGCGACTTGCAGTTTCTCAAGGTGCTCATGACACCATATATATATATATATATATATATATATATATATATATACACACACACACACACACAAAATTTCAGCTGTGGTCAGTGACCCAAAAAGACCAAGCACCCCAGAGAGTAGTTTAGTCTCATCTTTAATATATTTAGCAATAGGCCCAGATAGTTTTGTTTCAGGAAATTTTTAATAGTAAGCATCTCATTTATTTTTCTATTTTGCAAGATGATTGGGTTGCTTTTCAAATATAAATAGCAAAGCATTTGTTTTAAAAAATTGCCTGATATTCAATTATAGTGTTACTCTGCCTATATTTGCAGGCAAAGACTTCATGAAGAGTGGTTGCTGAGAGAGGAAAGAGCTCAAGAAGCTTTCAGGATCAGGAAAGAAAAAGAAGAGGCAGCAAGAAAACGACAAGAAGAGGAAGAGGTGTGGTATATACATTTATGTCTGTCCTTCTCAAGCCAGCATTCTTAACATAAAAAGAAAAACTTTACAGAAGAAATCATAAAAGTCAGGCAGTTTTTATCCTTGACAAATTTGAGAAATGCAATATTAGAATTTAAGTTGATAGCTCTAATGATTTTAGTGTGTTTTGGCTAAGTTAGTCAGTTTGAAGAGCCTGAGAAAGTTACGCACTCAACCAGGAGAGTTTTGGGTATGCTGGGTGGTTGATACCCTTTTGGAAGTCTTCTGGCACACTGACAAAAAGTTCAAAAAGGCATTGGCAGCTGATATGTGATTCCTCTATATGCTTATATTTGTCAGCAGCATTCTCTATCTTCCTATTTACTATATGGTGGTTGCTTTGCCAGTAGATCTCCTGTTCACTCTCCAGTCATTGGCCATAAATAAATTGTTCCTGAATAAATTTACCTGGAAGTGAGTCCCACTGAAGTTAGTGGGATGTATTGCTGAGTAGATATGCATAACATTGTGCAGAAAGATTTCACTGATTATCAGGAAGAAAATTCTAACCAGCATTTTTAGGCTGTTTTAGTAATGTGTCACTGCAGTTGGCAATGAAAACACAAAGAAAAGGGGTGTTAAATCAGTATGCCTCCAGTAACAAAGCTACAGAACTTCCTTCAGTATCTCAAAAAGCAGGTGTATTGAGCTTGTGGAAGAGGCAAACCTATATTAGGTCCTTGGTTAAAAGGCAGTAGCAAATAAACATTTTTCAATTTCCATCTACCCTCTTAATAGAAATATTTAACATGAAACAGGAGTTTCTATACCCATGGTTTTAAATTAAACTGCTCTTTTTGATAAAAGGTCTGTTTGTGTTCTTCTTAAAGCAAAAAATAAAAGAAGAGTGGGAGGAACAGCAAAAGAAAGAACAAGAGGAAGAGGACCGGAAACAGCAAGTGAAGAAAGAGAGAGAGGTGATTCCTGCTCTAGGAGGATAAACACAGTGCATATCCTCTCAAAATATTATTTACTGAAATGGAAAATAGCTGTTGATACTAACATTTGCAAGACTCTACATAACAGTATTAACCTAATCCTCATTCTGTGGATAAATTAGTCTGCAGTCCTTACCCATCTACTTAAGTAAGCATCATTGGACTTAGCAGAATTTACTTCTATGTAGATGTCAGCAGAATTGCATTGCGGATATATATAGTTTCAACTCCTCATAATGTATTGCAGGGGACAGACATGCTTCAGTTGTTCAATTATATTTTTTGCAGAAATAAAAATGACATTTTAAAATACCTCCTGAAATCTTCCCCAAAATATAATGATGCTTAGCAGCTCCCATTTCTCTATGCAGTTGGAAGTATGTACTTCTTCATAAGGGAGAGAGAAATAAAGGGGAACTAACTGTCAGTAAGTATTGGTTGTTTGGTTTGCATCTGGACGGGATCCCCTTTCCCACATTTGCAGATACTTGAGATCTTTATTATAGTTGGCTCTCATACACAGAATTCTTACTGGGAGGCTGTTGGCCAAGTTACAAACTGTTATATCTGTGTTTAGTTTAATTTATGCAGAATTAGCCTTGACTTATGCTTGTCCGGTTCCTTAACCACTTTTTCCACTCAAAGATGTTGCAGCTCATCATTACCTGATTCATTCATCAAGATGTATCTTTTTCTGTAGCTTGTTGGGTTGTGGGAAGGGAACATATCTGATAGCTGAAGCTGCTAACACTCTGCTTTTTATAGTTTAATCTTTGACCACTGTGCAGTATATTTAGAACAGAACACATTTTCTGTTAAGGAAATTTCTTGGTTAACTTTGTCTAGAGCAATAGCACTTTCTCATACTATTCTGGGTGTCAGCTGGAGTAGAGTTAGGCAGAAGCACTGAGTAATTACCCTTTTCTTATAACATGAATTACATTTAAACAGATAACTTGGATGAACACTATGATTCAACCAAATTTTTAAGGCCGTGGCAAACTGGATTTGGTTAAGATGACCAAAACAGACATACATGTGCTTTCATTTATATTGGGTGGCATTTTATTCCTTGTTTACAAGATCAAAGTAGATTTGTACTGCTTAATCAGTGTTTAATCAATGTGTAGGAAGAAATCAGCTGTATGCAATGTCTGTTCTTTCTTTAGGCTGTTGTAGTCGGCTCTGAATTAGAGAGAAAGAGAGTTGTTGCAACAAAAGCTCTGGACTAAGACATTAAGAGCATTGAAATATACAGAAAGTTTTAGCAAAAAGTGCCATGGCTGATCTCATTGCTTGGGTATCCTATATCTCAAATGTGTTTGTACATTTATTTATGTATTTACTAGCGTTTTTCTCATATGTCAGAGGGGCTGCTTGGGTCCCATCTCCAAGATATCTCAGTACATGTGTATATGCAAACACAGGTATTCTACAATCTGAACCCCCCCCCCCCCCCCCCCCCAAAAAAAACCCACCAAAATACAAAATAGTTCTGGTTCCAAGTATTTTGGATAAGGGATACTCAATTTGTAACCCTTAATTTTCTTTCTGCGCACAGAACTACAGTGCTTTACAAATGTACAACTAAAATGAATTTAATTGGCATTGTTATTCTTAGAATCTCGGAGTAAATAAAATATTCAACACTGAAGATACAAAGTAATTTTTGTGTGGCAAAAGAAGTAAACAAAAACAAATAGGGTCTTGTTGGTTGGGTAACTACTACAACACACCCTTCCCCAAGTCAGTTGCAGCTATTAGTCTAATCAACTAAATCTCTCTCAGCTTTGTGCATCTGGATCCTGCCGTTTTTGGCCCTCCCCCCCTTTTTTAAAAGTTGCCCCAGCGCTGTCAATTTGGATGGGGACTGCTGGCAAACACCAGCTTTCAGTTCTTGCCACATGTTCTCAAGAATATGTGGATTGAGGCTCGGACATTACTGAGCAATTCTAAATACAGCTAAGTTCTACATAACTGGGTTAAGGTTCGGACTTTACTGGACCATTCTACATTCAACTAAGTTCTGCATAACTAAGACTCCCAGTTGCAGAATGTTCACATGCTTGTTTTAAACTATCTAGTGTTATTCTGCTGTGTGTTGAAGATCACAGGCTTTGTAGATTATTCTCTGTTCCAGTCCCAAATACCTTACTGAAGCAGGGTTTTATGCCACATTAAACTGTTCTGCTCCTTCACAGTGTTGAGTATCTTATATGCAGTTGGTCCTCAGTATCCACTGGGATGTACTTCCAGTCCCCCCGTCCCCCCCACTTTCCAGGATATCTGTGCTTTGGTCTCATTATATATAAGGCCATATGAGTGAAATGAGGGAACCTAAGATCTGTGAAATGGTGGCAGATCTAGCAGGGTGTGCTTCTACATCAGTAAAAAACACAGTGAACAGTAAAATCAAGGTTTGGAATAGTTTTTTTCAAGTCAGGTTGACTTAGTCAGTGGGTGCAGAAACTTGGGATATGGAGAACTGACTGCACATGAAATGATAACAATTTCAGCTGAATCCATTTTAACACTAGGTTGTAGCACAACAAACATGGAAAAATGAGTGGGAGTGAATGTTTCTGCAAGATTGTTGTATCTGGATTGGATATATAATACTGAAACATTGAACTCAAATGTTGCATCCATCAATGCAGCAACAATCTTTGAATGGAACATGAACCGTTACACAAATGTCATCAGTATGTGTTCCACTCAAATATGCTGCTGCATTGGTGGTGGAGGTAGGCACACTTAATCTTCAGGACATCAGTAAGGAGACTGTTTTTAAGCCATTGTTCCAGGCATGCTCCTTCACAATAGTTTCCAGAATGAAATCCTGCAGAATGAAATCTGGCGTAATACATCTAACAGCAATTCTAGGCCAACGAGTTCCAATAAAGAGAAATATGCTAAAGAAATAGGAGAAACTGGTAATTTTTTTTGTCTTTCTTTCCAATTAATTCTTAACATTTTTGTTTATCTGTTTAGTTGTTGAGAAAGGGAATATTGTTGAGTGATGGTAGAAATTAAGGACAATATTCTAAATACAGTTGGCAGGATCCAACAGTATGCTGTGCTGTTGGAAGAAAGAATCCAATATCCTCCATCTCCCATCTTCAGCTGTGAATTTGTTCCCTAGAAAACACTTCAGAGACAGTTTTCAGAAGCGGAGAAGTTTTTAGTTAGAGGTGAAAGGAGAAGGTGGAGGAAATTCTGCAACTGAAACATTAGATTTAGGCCACAATGGCTGTACATGTTTGTGTTGGGAATCTTAATTATGTAAGACTTAGTTGACTTAGTTGTAATTTAATAAAAGTACTGATGCTCAAGAACATGAATTTTAAAACAGAACTTTTACAATCTTAACTAAAGAACCCAGGTGATGTCTGCTTTCAGAGTTTTCACTAGTCCTGTGTTTGCACCATTATAGGAAGCTGTGCAGAAGATGTTGGACCAAGCTGAAAGTCAGGTGAGTTAGGACTGTTTAAAATGGAACAAACAGATCCATGAATTTCTGAACTGCTCTTTATCTTCGTATCAGCCTCTCTTATTGATACATATATAATGCATTATAGCACAAGGCATAGATTTGTTGAATAGCAGTGCAACAATATTTTTCTTGAGGATACACTTAGGGATCAAGTGTACGTTAGAAGAAAATTAGAAAAGTGACCATTTGAAACTATGTTTATGAGGATCCGTCAAAGTGTGGGTAGTGTGTGGTAGATACCCCATTCTAAAAAGTAATATGTAGAGACAGGTACCGATAAAAGGTAGTCCCCCTTACATTAAGTCCAGTCATGTCTGACTCTGGGGTGTGGTGCTCATCTCCATTTCTAAGCCGAAGAGCCAGCGTTGTCCGTAGACACCTCCAAGGTCATGTGGCCGGCATGACTGCATGGAGCGCCGTTACCTTCCCGCCAGAGCGGTACCTATTGATCTACTCACATTTGCATGTTTTCGAACTGCTAGGTTGGCAGAAGCTAGGGCTGACAGCGGAAGCTCATGCCGCTCCCTGGAATCGAACCTGCGACCTTTCGATCAACAACTCAGCAGCAGAGTGCTTTTACCCACTGCGCCACCGGGGGCCCCTATGACAGATACCGAAAGCTGCCATTGATATTAAGAGACAGTAAAGCCAGCATTTCCCAATGCTTATTTAACTTTCCTTTTAAAAAACCTGTCATGGAATGTTGGAGGAAGCAACTTCTCAAGCCTCCTCTATGTGATATTTTGTAATAATGTTTTATTAGTGTGTTATTTTGTAAACTGAAGTGTATGTCCTGTTTGTAGTTTGCAGTTACCTTGTCTCTTTGTACTGAAGCAGTGGGAGGGGCTGCGATCATGTGACTGACGGTTTAGAATGTTCCGTTTTAAAAGGAATGACAGAGAAGTCAGTTGAGCTTTGAGCCTTGTTGGAGAATGTCTGTTGAGCTTTGAGTCAGCTTCAGTGGAGAAGTCTTTTAGTGTGCGGAAGCTAATGTTAAAAGCTAGTAAATTGTTGAGGCTTGTATTTTCTTGTAAAGTGAGCTCTTATTGAGGAGAGCTGTGTGGAGCAGCATAGTTCGTGAAGAAACAGTTAAAGTTTATAGCTTTTAAAATACAAACTCTCCAAACGTTTTTGAAGTTTTTAAGCCTTTAAAGAAATGTGCCTGTATCATTGAATGCATCAAGTAATAAGTAAACAAACATTGTTATTTTTAAAATAAGTCTGTTTGAATCTTTGCTTGCCTAAAGCATTAAACTCAAGGAATATTCCTCTCAAACTCTGCTACCCCTGATGGGTTGCAGTCCTAACATGTCGTGACCCATCCATTATCTCCAATATGGAAATCATGTTCTCTCTATCCCAAGGCTGGTATTGGGATAGATCCACTCCGTAAAAAATAATAAAGGAAAATGGCTAAATGATACTCATTGAAGTCTTCAGGAACAGCCGTTTTCCTTTCATGTAAAGTTCCTATCTCATCTTCACTGGTGTTATTTTCCCCTATAGAAAAAGGGGTTCATGGTGGCTTCAAGAGGACTCTGAGGATGTGATATTAACTCTTTAATTTGCCTACCCCTACCATTAACTATTACAGGTAATAAAGCATATCTTCTCCATTGCAGACCTTTGTTCTATCCAGGAAATCAGCTGGTTAAAGTTAGTTATTGGTGCTTATTAATAAACACTGTTCTGATTCTATCAACATGTTAATTCCCTTTTTTAAAAAACAGCTAGAAAATGGAACTACGTGGCACAATCCAGAACCCCCAGAGAATATTGGAACAGAGAAGGATCGAGCTAATTGCCCTTTCTACATTAAAACTGGAGCTTGCAGATTCGGAGACAGGTAATTCAACTCTAAATAGATCTTTGAAGTATTTTGCATTTGTTTAAAACATCACATCTGGGGCTAGTTGAACTTATCCTCTGCTCCTCCCCAGTAGCATTTTGGCCATCTTCCGACCTGGGAGTCCCATCTTCCAATGGCATACCGACATATCTCTGGTTGTACTGGTCCATTTAGTTTTCTTGGCAAGGATACTGGAGTGGTTTGCCATTGCCTTCCCCAGGGATCACGCTTAGTCTGACCTCTCTGCCACAACCGTCCCGTCTTGGGTGGCCCTTCATGGTTTCGCTCATGACATCATTGAGGTGCTCAAGCTCCAGCGCCCCGACAAGGCGGTGATCCTTTGCTGAAGTTGTTTAAAACATCTAAGTTAAATAGTATTTGGGCTAAAAATCTCAGAGTACAGTATTGTGCATGCAGATTTCCACTTGCACTTTCCTCCTCTTCCTCCCTCTTTTCTTATACCTGATCTTAAGGATCCCTTCACAGTCTGGTACAGATTTTGGAAGTGAGCAGCAGGAAGGAGGGATATGTTGAAGCTGTTGTTTACATTAGTAATGCATTTTAAGCGAACAGATTTAATTGTTGTTCTTGCTGATACCAAAGGCCTCCCTTTTAAAGATTTCCCACTACATACCAAGTTCCTCAAAATAGGAAAGGGGATTGGCACAAACATAGGGCAGTATTGAACCTTCCAAACATTTACTGAGGTTACTTCAGTGCTTGGAGAATGAAAATCCATGTTGATATTCGTGTTTTTCTTTTCACTGCAAATATCAAGTGGCCTCTGATACAGAGAATGCTTTTGTCCATATTAGAAGTGCTAGAAGGATTCCTACTTTTATGGTAATTGCAGAGCTTTGGCCACTTATGTAACCATGAGAAAGTATGTTTTGCACAGAGATTGTGATTTCAACAACTAGCCAAGGCACACAATGGCAGGAAAATTGACAACTTCTCCACTTAATAAAAATTAAAAATGTGTTACGTTTTTGTAATTTGTTTATATGTTTTTTCCTCATTGCCATTGAATGTTTGCCATACATGCTGGAAGTGGCCCTGAGTCCCTTCAGGGAGATAGGGAGGTCTAAAAGTTTTTATTTAAGAAATAATCAGATAAAGTCATCCTCTTTTTTGTTCCTGTGGATCAAAAATGATATTAGAAGAGAAAATTACAATATGGCACCAGAGATTCTTTATCAGCCATGTTTCTCTTTCCTCTTTGCTGCCAAAAGTTTTCCCAAAGAGGCTGCCTAGGCCAAGAACTTAGCAAACTTGGTGTTGAGAAATAGGCACCAATCACTAAATCCCTCACATCATACTTCATTGATAAACGGGCACATTGGGTAAATTTTAAGCTATTGTTTTTTCTTTAAAAAATTATAAAATGAATAAATTTAAAACAAAAGTAAATGAATCTTTTTTGCTTTTGGTTGTACATCTATCTGTGGGTTCATTTTTGAGCATGCATCTTCTCTGATTGGCCAGTCTCCCATCATACTTGATGCTCTAAACTGTGTTGTGCTTTAGACTAAGTAAACAAACAAACAAACAAAAAACAGGATTCTTTTCCAACCTGTTTCTTTCCTTCTGTCGATCATGAATAAAACTGCCATTTCTTTTTGTGCCTTACTGGAAGGGGGGTTGCTAGATCAGGCTTACATGTTTGGCTCAGATGTCAATATATTAACCTGTTTGCATTCAAAAATTTTATTGTACATTGATCTGATAGCTGTGTTATAGGGTTCCCATATGAGTTGGTTAATAATACCTATTCTTAATTGCTTATCCTTCCCTACCTTCAATGTGGACAAATGTGTTACGTTTTTGTAATTTGTTTATATGTTTTTTCCTCATTGCCATTGAATGTTTGCCATACATGCTGGAAATGGCCCTGAGTCCCTTCAGGGAGATAGGGAGGTCTAAAAGTTTTTATTTAAGAAATAATCAGATAAAGTCATCCTCTTTTTTGTTCCTGTGGATCAAAAATGACATTAGAAGAGAAAATTACAATATGGCACCAGCTGGACAATCTTTGCTCACTAGCTTAGGAGGAGGAGGAGGAATAGATGGTAATACTGCCATTATACCTCTGATTAATAGCTGCCATTCATATCCATGCCCTGTTTGCCCCACCAGTTCGTCCCACATCTTGAGCAATGATCAATTTTATTTGCCTCCAAGGGACTGGGAGATTGATGGTTCTGTTTGATGTTTTGTTTCATGTCTGATATAATAGGTTGCATTTTTTATTTAAATTTTGTTGTTAAGTTATAATTTGTTGGGTTGTCAATTTTCATTATTATGGGTTTGTTGTTATTATGTTCAGGCATTGAATGTTTGCCTTTTTATGTTTGGAATCTGTCCTGAGTCCCTCCGGGTGGAATGTAAATAAAGTTGTTATTGTTGTTGTTGTTGTTGTTATTATTAGCCGTCCCCTGCCATGCGTTGCTGTGGCCCAGTCTGGTGATGTGGGAAAAAAAGTAATGAGAAAGTGTTTGTTTCTAGTATATATAATTTCTTTATGCTTGTGGGCAAACAGTATTTCTTGTATCTTGTTTTTTTTTTGTCAGTGTTGATGTGGAGATTGTCTGGTTTGCCTACTCTGCAACATGCAACATATAATTGTCCTTCTTTATATAGATTATTATTAAATTTATAATATGTAACATTAACTATAGAATAATAAAAAAAAGAATAACATGTTTTCTTCTCTTTAAAGATGTTCTCGGAAACACAATTACCCAACCTCTAGCCAAACACTCCTTATTAGGGGCATGTTTGTTACTTTTGGGATGGAACAGTGTAAAAGAGACGACTATGATACAGATGCTAGCCTGGAATACAGTGAGGAAGAAATCTACCAGCAGTTTCTAGACTTCTATGAAGATGTACTTCCTGAATTCAAAAACGTAGGGAAAGTCGTCCAGTTCAAGGTACACTATTTTTTTTAGCAAACTTCTATTTGTAAATTCTCTTCTTGAATGAAGTAATACATTGTGATGTATGCAGAACATGATGAAATGTGTCTTGTTGTAGTCCTTTTACTTGCTGAAACAAAGTGAAGAATTGAAAAAAGGTTTTGGAAGCCTCCCTCCACATAAAGAAGTGGCTATGATTTTATGTTACTGTGATTCCAGGAAGATAACAAAATGATTTTCTGATGAGTTCACTGACCAACCTGTGATCTACTTACAAGGGGAAAAATGAAGATATTGCTCCTCTTGATAAACTGGCATGGGCTGGTGCCTCTTGGAGCAGCATCCATTCCCTAATCAGGCTCTCTCATGACACTAATGGTGATGTCAGAATTTCAGAAGCTGTTGTAGAGACTATATGAGGGAATTCTGTCCTATGTCAGCCTATTTCTGCCTGTTACTCATGGAACTTACCAAGTGAGTGGAGAGATGCTCCTCACAGTCCTTGTGCCAGTTGCTCTTTGGCCCCAATTGAATGTCTTTTAAAGGGAATACATGTTTGGACCAACTGTCCTTGCAAACTGTATAATTCCTTCAAGACAAAGGGTTCTCCAGTAAGATTCTGTTTGAAGATCTTAACATTGAGAAACACTTTCACTTTATACTTCCTTACTTCAATGATAGTGTCATACCACATTTAAAGCATCATGACACTCATTTAGAAAGTGCCATTGGTGGCTCGGAAGCAGTGTTAAATATTCATAGACTTCTTACTTTATGGATTCTATTAAAATCAACTGTACATCATTTTATAGAAAAATGAACATATGCAGGAGTGTTACCTATAAAGTGTGCTATTAATATGACACCTGGAGAATTTAGTTCAGGAATTGACAATCTACTATCCTCTGAATGTTTTTGTACTACAACTTTCCTTATTATTTTTTAATGGGGATAGTAGAGTTCTTATTAATTGGTTAACCCTTTACAAATATCTAATAAGTCGCAAAGAAAGAACAAGAAAAGTGGAGTTTTTTGGGATGTGAGGGGGATTTTTACACCAAGTTATCATTGTTACAATTAAATCTTCATCTCTATTTCATTAACACGCATTACAAAAGATATTGGAGATTCTATGTATCCTCTATAACAAATCTAAAGTTAAATGTAATAGTTATATCTTCTTGTTCTTTCTTATATTGTCTCATATTCTTATCTTCTCTTCCAGCTCTTCTTTATTGAAAGTTGATCTTGATTGTTCTTGGCAGATCGTTTCTTTTAAATCTTTTGTTATCTGTAGCTTCCCTTATTCTTGATGATTTGTTGAATGCAAAAAAAGTATTTTCTAGTGCAGTTTATTGTAGAGATATGATGAATTGCACACTTTGAATATACAGGCTTTGAGCTGAAAGGGCTTAGATCAGGGGTTCTCAACCTTTTTCAGCTGCGGAGCCCTTTTTGAAGCAGAAGTTTCTTGTGGAGCCCCAAGAAATGTTTATATTACATATAAGTATGTGTATATAAATCAAGTATGGGCAAAGTTTTGGATGCATTGCATTTTAACATTTGACAGACGGGCTAGGCTAGATGGATGGAGAGTGTTTGTGTGAACTACAGTAATAGAAAAAGATACAAACAAATTCCTATGCACACTGCACATATCTCATTTGTAATGCAAAAGAAAGAAAGAACAATACAATATTTAAAATGAAGAACCATTTTAACTGACGTAAACTTAACAGTATATCAGTACAATACTCCAGTGGCCCTCCAGTCCAACCCCCTTCTGCCATACAGGAAAAATACAATCTAAGCACCCCCAACAGATGGCCACCCAGCCTTTGTAGTAGTAGTAGTAGTAGTAGTAGTAGTAGTAGTAGTAGTAGTAATGGGGGAGGGGAGAAACACAGAGCCCTTTAAGATGCTTTGCGTAGCCCTAAGGGCACCGTGGAGCACACTTTTGAAAACCGCTGGCTTAGATAGATACATGCTAAAGTCAAATCAGAAAGCCAGCATGATTTGAGTGTTGGACTAGTACAGTCCAACACAGAGTTGAAATCACCACTTCACTTTGGAAATCTGCTAAATGACATTTTGCAAGTCAATACTTTCTCAGCCTCAGAGGAAGGCAAGGGCATAGAAAACACTTAAGTCTGAAGCGACTTGATGGCATACAACAAGAAAATCAGGTCAATAAGCACATTTGTTTGCAGAACTAGCTTGACAGTACTTTATGTGAAATATGGCATGCAAGTCAGGTCATCATGCACTCTTTTGCATATCTCTCAGACTACTAATTTTGCTAAATTAGTTAGTGGAGCTTATTTCTAGTTAAGCTTCTGTAGGAGTGCAGCCTAAAAATGTATCCAAAAAGTGCTTCCAGAGTCGAACTAGAAATGTTATCCTGAGATGTTCTTGATGCTGCCTGAATAGTTCTCATTTAATTTTTATGTAGGTCAGCTGCAACTTTGAGCCTCACCTTCGAGGAAATGTGTACGTTCAGTATCAGTCGTAAGTATTCATAAATGAATGCTGTTAATAGATCAACATAATATGTAGTAAGATGGTCTGTGTATTTTATTTTATACTAGCTTGGGGACCCAGCGGTGCCCGGGTTATTTGAGAAGGCATTGTTTGTTTTGTGAAGTTTGGTAATATCAGTTTGGTGATGTGTAATACTATTTATTAGGGAGGGGGGGGGGGAAGCAGTCTTTCTGTTTTTTAATTAAATCCCCCATTAGAAAATGCATAAGGATGTGGGAGACCTACAATTTCCAGAATTGTGGGTCAGTCATTCCCAAACCATGCCATTACTTAAAGTTGGCCATGTTGGATCTGTGTGCCAAGTTTGGTCCAGATCCGACAGCAGCTGGGTTCAGTGAATATCTAGGTATGGGTGAACTACAACTCCCAGATTCCCAGAGCAATCACTCCCAAGCTCAGCCAGTATGCACAATTGGCCATGTTTGTTCTGTTTGCCAAGTTTGGTCCTGATCCATCGTTGGCTGAGATCACTGTTCTCTGGATAAGGGTGAACTACAACTCTCAGGGTAATAAGCCCTAAACTCTGCAAGTATGGACAGTTGCCCATGGTGGGTCTGTGTGTCAACTGAGTTCCAGGTCCATCATTGATGAAGTTCAGAGTGCTCTTAGATTGCAGGTGAACTGTGCATCCTAGTCCCTACAACTCCTATAAATCATTGTGAATTCTCTCCAAATCTCTCCAGTATGTTCAGTTGCTGATTAATTCCTCTGCTGTGTCAAAGGAAAGGGTTGGAACGGGATAAGGGAGAAGCAGTGGGTGGGGTCATGCAAATGAAGAGAGAAAGGAACACTGGGATGTGCTTGCTATAACCTGCAAATGTCCTTTGAGAGAGTGACTTGCTGTTTTCTCAGTACTGGAAACAATAGCCTATTTGTGGAGGCTGGAGGCTGTCTGTGAATAGACACCTGTGCCACATACAGATTTTCACTTTTATTATGTGTATAGATTTCCATGGATCAGTCTTTCCCAATAAAGGTAGTTTATTCTCCATGATAGTGCAATTTTTCTTTCTTTGGAATGATGGGAGAAAAAATCCACACAAAGTGGGTTAGCTATGTCATCACCCAGAAAATGACAGGGAAACAATGTATTCTCTGTGATTGGGCGATTTAGGCACTCCCAGCCCATCTGTTTCTTTTCCTGCCTTTGCTCTCTCATTTGTTCTGCATTTTCTGGACGAAATTTGCATATTTATGGCTAGTGTTTTATCATTCTCCGAGGTGATCTCAGCTGTAGTCAGCCCTCCTTATCCATAGATTCAACCATACATACCCGGAAAATAGGAAAAAAATATTAAAAAGGCAAATCTGGATTTTGACACTTTATAGAAGGGACAGCAATTTATTACACCATTGTATATAACAAGACTTAAGCAGCCACATAGTTTTGCATCCATGAGGTGAGGGGGAGGGGGCTGCTGGAACCAAATCCCAGTTGAAACCAAGGTCCCATTGCCCTTTGTTTAAAAAATGCTTACACGAGTTTTTAGTAGTTTTGTGGTGATAATAACACCATTTTATTTTTTTTAAAGAGAACAAGAATGTCAGGAGGCTCTTGCTTTATTCAATGGTCGATGGTATGCAGGTCGTCAGCTTCAGTGTGAATTCTGCCCAGTAACAAGATGGAAAACAGCGATTTGTGGTATGTCATTTGAAAACCCCTTATGCCTTGCATTTTATCTTCGTATTAATAAACTATTATTTTAAAAAGAGAATCCAGAGTTTTTCGGGGGATAATGCAATGGGTAGCATCAGCTGGGGTCAAGGATCAGGATTTCTTAGCATAATTTTATTTCTAGAGGCATTGTTTCCCAAAATAACTAAAACTGTATATGTAGTGTTTCACCAAGAAATACCACTTCCCCCCTCTATTTGAAGCTTTACATTTTATCTCAGAAAGTAAACTTGGAAATGGTTTCTGTATATCTGTTGGCTTTCAAATGCAACAAAATAAATGTTGGTTGAAAACTTACATCAAATGGGGTGGAATGTAACACCAGTTTATCACATATCAATGAATAGCAGTGTCTTGCAGCAAAACATGAACACTGAGATTGAAATCCATCTGCTTTCAGATTTTGATAACCCCTTTAAAACTATTTTTAGGTTTGTTTGAAAGACAAAAGTGTCCAAGAGGGAAGCACTGCAACTTCTTACATGTATTCAGAAATCCAAACAATGAATTTTGGGAGGCCAACAGAGATATTCACATATCCCCTGAATGGACTAAAGAAGCAAGTAAAAACTCTGAAAGGAGGAATCGGTTGGGCTACTATGAAGAACATTATAGCAGGTCAAGGAGAAGAGGCAGTCCAAGTCCAGATCGTGCTTACAACAAAAGAAATGGGGAATCTGAGAAGAAAAAGAGCCATCACAAGCATAAAAAAAGACATCTTTCCAAGAGGTCAGAAAGCCGCGGAAGAAATAGGTCACATAGTAAAAAGAAAAGGGGACGGAGTCACACCAGGAGCTTGACTCGTAGCCAAAGTTCCTCTCGGTCAAGGAGTCGAGGCAGAAAGAGATCCAGTAGCAGAGGAAGAAACAGTTGAGTGACTGTAAGATGTTTGAGTTAAAAATCCAACCAAACTATTACTTACGGAGATGTTGCATATTAGAGACCCTTTCTTGTATTGCTGTGCTTCAAAAATAAAACTGCTGTGCACTTCCCAGTCTTATTTTTTTGCAATAAATTATTTTAAAATAATGTGCATCTCTTAATATCTGCTAATTACTTGCTGTAGTGCTGTGGAAATTTGATCTTCTTTACAAGTCCATTAATCGTTTTGTAAACATTTAATTAGTAACACTCCCATAGTCTTGCCTCTTTTTTGTGTTTTCTGTTTTTATACCAAAACATGTTTAGACTGACTGCACAATGTATTGTTTCACTGCCATTTAGGTAATTCAGCATGTAGAAAGCCATGGTCTTGTAGTAGCTTACTAAACATCTCTTGGCTTAGTGACTTTGAATTGCAGTTTCCAGCAGCCTTGGTCTTGTTGGCTAGCATGCGTTTGTAACATCCTTTGTCAAATTAGAGATATAGGGAGCATGTGGCCTTCCTGCTGTGGGACTGCAGTTCTCATCTACAATTGATTCTGCTAATTAAGGCTGAAAGGGATTGGAATCCAACAACTGGAGTGCTTTGTTTTTCAGCTGTACTGTGTAGGTGGAGACTGTGGTCTTCCAAATATGTTTGAATGTGTAACTGCTTTCCTTACCACTAGCAATGATGGCTAGGGCTGGTGGGACCTGCAGTCCTACATCTGCAAAACTTCCACACCTGCTATAAGTAGTCTTAAAACAAATTACTATTTTACTGAATGAAACTTCATTATAAGTATATCTCAATTTGAGTAAATAGAAATGTATAGGGTTTCTTACCCTAAGGAAATCTAATTACTGATATATCTCAGTGCGAAAAAGTACAGGAAGTTGGGGGAGAAACAGAAGGCAAGCCACCACCTGGGAGTTCACAGCGGCATTTCTCTGCAATGTTACTGAGGGTCACCCTGGCCTTCAGAGAGGTAGTTATATGAATGTGATTTTTCCCAATCGTAATCAGATTGTACACATGGTACACTTCTAGAGCATACCACTGAACTGGATGTGACCAGAATCTGAAGACACAACTTTGATTTTAAAATGTGTGGATGTATCGCAGACCTAGAAATGCAGGTGAAATATGACTTCATTAACTCAAATAATTCCATAAAACAGTAATAACATGGTCAAACTCAAGAATGCCAAGGATTAAAATAAATTCAGTTCACAGTCCAGTTCTGTTTGGTACATAATATGGATTAATTTGAGACTTGTTTTTAACAGAATATTTGCCACACAAGTAAATATATTCCACTATAAAACTGTCAAAGCCAAATTTTAGCACTGCTAATTCAATGAATTGGTTACATTTGTATTTTAATACAGTAGAGTCTCGCTTATCCAACCTTCGCTCATCCAACATTCTGTATTATCCAACGCCGTCTGCTTCCCGCCTGGATCCACAGCTGTTTCAATACATTGCGATGGTTTGGTGCTAAATTCATAAATACAGTAATTACTGCATAACGTGACCATGTATTGAACTGCTTTTTCTGTCCATTTGTGTAAAACATGTTTGGTGCTTAATTTGTAAAATAATAATGGAATTGATGTTTAATAGGCTTTTCCTCAATCCCTCCTTATTATCCAGCATTTTCACTTCTCCAACATTCTGCCGGCCCGTTTATGTTGGAAAAGCGAGACTCTACTGTAATGGTACAAATAGTTAAACACAGTCTAGCCCATCCTGAATCCCTCCCCCTAAATTCTGGAGAAAAGAATCAAGAAAAGTAAGACATTTGGCCAGAAACACTATATTTCTCTGATTAAGCAATATCAAATAAAATTGAGGAAACTGGAGGTGATGACATTTAAAGAGACTCAAAATGGTATCTACACAGAATTATCACCAATAGGGCACTATATTATTTTTAATTCTGGAGTATCAAAGGTGCAGCTTACCCCTCATGTTTGTGTGTATTACAGAACAAAGTACATTTCTTTTAAAAGTTTGTGTTTTTTAAGAAGTGTACCACGATGACATACTCTTAAAAACATGGGTCTATGACAAACCATTACATACTTTTGTGTTGGTTAGAAAAAATAGTTGCATAGTATGACAATATGTTTATGAAGTTAAAAACCCTTCACTGCATTTTGAAAGAAACATGTCTTCCCATTAACTATTAGAATACACGGACAAAGTAATGCAGTAGAAATGGACATTTATTACAACTAAACCAGTGTGATACTAAGACAGTGTTCACGTTGCGCATGTCACAGTCAAAGCTTTTCCAACCAAGCACATACAAGGCAATGGTGTAAACTTTAAACATGGTTTGAATATACACAAAAGTTGCTTTTCAGCTGACATTTTAAAAGGCCAAATAATTCTGTCTCCTCAGTGTCACACAAGAGGTCACATTATAATGTCACCTGAAATTCAGGAGTCCATGTTTCCCCAGGGTGAACCCAACTCCTTCTGTACCCTAAGCAAACATGATTACTTCAGATCTGTGGTACTGTTTAAAGTAAAGCATTTGGATGCTTTAAAGCACACCAATCACAGCAAGTAGTAACATTATTGGAGAAGTAGCCAAGTGAGAACACACACAAGATATTACACATGTGGAGGGGGGGGGGGTTACACTGCTTTTCACAGCATGTGCTCTGTACTGAAGCTTTTTTAGCAGTAGGATACAGGATAGAACAGCAAAAACACACATCGGAGTAAATAGAGTATGGCTTTGTGATACCTCTGCAGCCTGAACCTATGCATATTTATTTTGACGCAAGCCCTGTTATTGGGACTTACTACCAAGTTAAATGTGTATACACTTTCAGCCTTTTTGTGTCTTGTGAAAACATGGCAGTGATTTTAACAAAGTTCCCATTTTAAGGCTTGTTTCTATTATGTAAAGAAATTCATTTTAATGAAACCTAACATTGTGAGGTGAGATGAAAACTGATGTGTAACTACATATTTTCAAACTCTACAAGCAACTGCTTGAGTTCTAGTTCAAACATATAGTTATACTGGTAAAAAGTTAAGGACAGGTGCTTGGTAAAATCATTTTTACATGCTTCCCTTTGAGATTATATCACAGTAGCTTAATGTGTTTTGAATTGATTCTCCTTTATACTTTCAAAAAAAACCAAATATGCAATTCAGGAAGCATTTCAATTTGGTATTAAAAAGAATGCTTGTTGCTTAAAAAAATTCATATGACCTCAGTCTTTTTCCTTTTGTAATGAATGAACTCCATTTTCTGATTCAATTTAAAATCTCACTGTGATCTCATTCATTAGAATTTCTAATGAAATCCTTTACCATTCAGTTATTGGAAATGAAGTTACAATGGCAATTCACAACAGTTTGACTTTGCAGACCTTAGCAGGATTCTTTGGTATAAATGAAATAGCCATAAAGTTATTTTCCCCCAATCTTATGTAATAACCTAAATTGAATTTTAACAAATGTATGAGTGTCTGACTGTATAATAAGAGTCTTTGGTTACACAAAGCCAAGTTCTATATTAACTGAATTTCACCTTCTTGCCATAAGTAACTTGTTTTAGTATATGGCAAAATGTATGGTACCTGACACATTACGTGATGGCACAGTAATGTTTATAAAATATCACATAAATTACCATGTATTGTTCATTTTAATTTATGGATTCATTCTAAATTATTGTAGTTTAAATCCCTTTAATTTTTTCCCTAAAAAGTATGCTCCCTTTTTCAACTTGACAGTAAATTGAATTTTTCTTGTAGGTCTGAATGAAGTAGCTCAGCAGAACAGTAATACTGACAAATAGCATCATAACACCATTAGCTAACATTAAATGGAGGCAGTGAACATTTACAGGTATATGAAACACCATGTAAGACATCAGCAAACGAGGTTTATGTCAGTCCAATTTCTTCAAGTACACTACGAGGAGTCTCCGCTTCCTGTGGAAGGAAAATTAGAGAGTGAACATATCTTGGGCTCCTGTGGAAGCATTGCAAGCATTCTAACAAGAAAGGAAGCAACTCGCAAAATCACCTTGCCTAAGGAAACCCTATGAAATTCATGGGGTTAACAAGCGACTTGAAACATATACACAGTCCTGAACAATCAACTAGTAGCTACAGATCACACTATTTGTTTCAGGAAGTTTCTAATTGTATTTTGTGCACATTCTTACTTCCTGCAACCCCATCCATCTATTCTTTGAGTCAACTGGGCAGATAGGAAAAAGGTGAAGACAGTATCTTTAAAATGTTAGGCCCAAAGCCTTTTGGAAGTATCAGTCCTGTCAGACATTTAAAGTTTCCATATTCTGTATATAATGCTCAAGTAGACGTTTTAATATGCTGGAAGTGATTTGGATATGTTTAAAAGCAAAACTGTAATAATACATTTTCCTAATGATTTCTTATATAACAAAAATACATTTGATTTGTTAAAAGTACAACTTGTAAGTTTTGTATTAACAGAACGAACACTTACTTTAGCATCCTAAATAAGGCATAGCCAAAAAAGAGAGAATCAGAATTTAGCAATAACGTTCTAAGAAAAGGAAGTGTTAACGATATACATAAACATACATTTTTAATTATAGAGTTCCCACAGAGGAACAGAAAGTGTTCACAAAATTTCAGATGTTGTTTTTAAATCTTCTATTTAAAGTAAGTGCATTGGCTTCACTACAAAACACAAGTGATGTTCAGTCTCGTCACTGAAACCACGCTATTGATAAGTCTATTGTCAACAACCTTAAACCTATCTTTATCAGATTTTGTTTTGTTTTATAGAAATAAAGCTTCTAAACGTTCATGAGTGAAAGGATAAACAGTGCCACTAGAAAGCTACACAGTCAGTTCCAGGATGTCCAGATTAGTAAAAGTAACCCCTGGAGCAACCTGTTATTCCAACACTATCTGATTTAAATTGGAGTGAATAAATTCCCATTTCCTTTGGCACACTATTTAATCCAGCTAGCTGATCTGTGCTGAAAGATGTTAACTAATAGGAAAATCTATACTAGGAAAAGCACCACCCTTGCAATTTATGAGGTAAGCTACCCACTGATGGATCCACCCAGACAGAAGCAGATTCCCACCTGTGGAACCACTGCAACAGTTCAGTGTTAAACAGGTTAAAGCAAGCCCAGGGCTCCTTCTGTGCAAGTGGATCTCTAGCACTGTGGGAGAAGAACATTTTCCACGCTTCATGTGACAGACCAGCACCCTAAAGGAAAATTAAATTTGAAAAACTGTGCCAAAATTCAGCAGCAAACCACAGAAGAAAAATAAAAGACTAGTTTGTGGATATGGGGAAAATGCCATGTTTCTGAAGTATTCCATGAAAGTCAAAATGGATATATTTACCATTCATTTATATAATTTAGTAACACTTAATAAAGTTCGAACGGGAGGGATTTTACAAATAATGCACGGAGGACTTACTTTTAGGAAACAAATACATTTCCAAAGTAATAATCTATTGAAAATTGTGGTTTTTATTTGTTAATAACTGAACTGCAATGTACAGTATATAATATAAATAGACTATTTCTACCATTTTATTTCCCCCCACCCCGTTTAAAAATGTACCTAAATGTTGCACCTTTCTGAGTCCCTTTCCAGTAAAAGGAGTTGTTTGTGTGGAAGAATGGCTAAAGTTTGCTGCAGTTTAACACTTGTCCAACAGAAAAGTGGCCCCTGGCACCACAAAAGTTGCCCTCTATTCACAAGGAGGCTAATCCTAAAAAACAAATAATGTAGATACACTATATAACTAATAGATAAGTGGTTATTAATTTTGTCTACTTCTAGATATCTGATAGTGTTTCAGTTTGTAATAAATATACACTATGAGCAAACAACATTCTACAAAAGCATTGAGTCTCATACATATATAGATGTATAAAATATACATTCGTAGCAACTGCCAAGTGTACATACAAATGTGAGTTTGGAAATGTGTAACGCAGGAAATGATTTAGGAATAATTTGTACAGTGTAGTCAAGTGTTTCACAGATTTATTCTCCTGAGCAAAATTACCAATAGCGAACCGCACAAACAGGAAATATATCAACACAGAAGAGATGGGAGGAAAAAAAAGGCATTCACATGAGAAGTGCATGCAATACTTTATTAAAGACATGCCAGGAAAGCTAATTCACAATAATTTGCAAGCATGCAAGAATATAAAACTGTAACAGGCCACAACAGCTCATTAGCATTCCATGCATAGCACTTCGTAGATTAAGGGTATGCAATGCAGCACAACCAAATACATTCACAGAAGCAATACCATTTTTTAAAAAAAAAACCAAAAAAACCAAAATGATAAGGCAGAAATTTTCTATAATTTATTTGCCATATATCTAGAAATGTTGTAGAATCAATATGTTAAATGCCTCACTGTTGAAAGTATTTTGATATATATCTTGGTATCACCCAATACCAATTAAACTGGAATTTTATATTGCATATGATTGATTGAGCTAACCCTTATTCCCTATTATTTTATAACTTAAAATAGTTAAGGCTACTATAAATTATTTTATATTTTATGCAATTTAGTTGTTTAGATTTTATTATGGTGTAAATGCGTTTGATTAGATTTATTATGTTTTATTTAATAACTTATTTTTACTTATTTTTGGCTAGTTATTATAAGTTTTTATTGAAGTTGTTTTATGTATTGTCTCGATTTGGTTGGTTTCATTATTATGGCATTGAGTGTTTGCCACTAGTTTGGAAAATTGACTAGAGTCCCCTTGGGGAGATAGGGCAGGTTATAAATAAAGTTTATTTATATTATATTATATTATATTATATTTTTGAGAAACATAGCCTCTGCATAAATTAATAATTTCCCTACACAAAACAAGCAGAATAACCCTTTTTTCCACTGTTAATTTTTGGGCGGTTCATATTTCAGCACAGAAATTCTAGAATTGTATTTTTTACTTAAGATATATTCATTTCCGTGGATGTCTCCATTTACCTGCAATGATTGGGTCTATTAGTAGGCCTGGAAAACAACTCCAACATTGCAGTGAATGGAAAAGCCCTTTCAAACACTAGAGGGTACCATAAATACTGAAGCTCTTAATAATGCAAGATCAGAATATTTAAATTTTAAATTCTTATATAAACATCAAGTACAAAATGCTACTTTCTAAAATATGCTTTTTTAAAATAAAAAAGTAATTTTCAAGGTTTTTAAATTATGTTCTGTCTATAAGCCATCTGTTTAAAACACTTTTTGTTTAATGCACCTAAGAAAAGGTCAGTGCGTATCTATTTTGCAAATACAAATATCACATTTATATCCAGTTTGACAGAATACTGTACCATGAGGTTTCAGTATTTAAATTGTAAAACTAAGCTCCACATAGTATTTCAGCTTGAATATTACATGCTATATCAAGTGCTAATTAAAGATTTAAATATTTTAAAATGAAAATGATGGCATGTTGACAAGACAAGACAAATGAAAGGAAAAACACAGACACTGCAAATGGTAAGACAGGAAAATATACAAACAGCAAAAAATAACAGTGTGATATACACTAATTTGTTCAAGATGATTGGATTCACCAAGCTGAGGATAAGTGTTCTGCCATGAGTAAGTCAGCTTTATTGCTTCTCTTATGCATGATGAATGAAGTCATTTAGTACACTGGGACATTAAAGTATTCATGACGTGGCTATAAAAAAAATGTGTAGATTCTTTATAAATGGTACAGAAATTTGCATGCATACAATATAAACAAATGGCTTTTTATTTAGTACTTCTATTAATGCTTAATAACATCAATGTTATTATTGTTTTCTTTATTAATGCTATTGTTGTTTTATTATCTGATTTTTAAAATTACATATACTACTACAAATGTATGTAGGCTGGAAAAAGGACATTACCATAATAGTTTTGCAAGCTATATGCAACCACACATCATTGAGGGCTAAAAAATTAATGCTGTATGGTTGTTTTCTTTTATTTTTCTCCCACACCATGCTCATGATGATCTGTTCTATACATGCATACCACGATAGCTAGTGTTTTTGTTTTGTTTTGTTTTTTGCATATGGCCAAGTTTAGTAAGAAAAGAAAGAGCAAAGTCTGTGCCCTGCTGAACCAATCACAACACCAGAATAACAGGTAGCATCATATTTTATTTGTACATTCAGCAACCTGATTTTATTTCTGGGATGGAGATTGTGCCTGCAATTGCATCTAACTATACCCAACTGCATTACTACTGATTTGTTTCTTACACAGTATGAAAGCTATGGTTAATTATAGCACACATTCTTATGGCATTTCAGTTGATTCTCAAAGTACTGCCCAACTGCCCAAAGTACTGCCCAAAACTGAGTTTTTGAATCTTTACTTTTCTTCTTCAAGCACAATCTTATGAATGGATTCTTTATAATCACAAGTCACAAGACCACAGTCTTTAATCCATTTTAAAACCACCTGCATTAACATTCCAGGCCAGCTAACTGTTAATCCAGCTATGCAGAGATGGAGATTTGGATTTGTGGATTTTCTATCACTTAAAACCGTACACAGTATTTAAAATTATTTCATGTTTTTTCTCAGATTTATCTTAGAAGAATCAGATCAAACTCACTTCAGAGAATTTTCACATGTGAGAAATTGTTCCTATGCCTTCTAATTCATACATATAATTAGTTTGTTGATATTCCTACAGACCTGTATACAGTACATCTTGTATTTTCCCCCAAAATACTTTGTACTTGAATAGACCCACTGAAATCAATGGGATCTAAGAAGTAATTTAGTCTAATTCACTTTATAGATAGTCTAGTTGGGAATAACATTGGATATAAAATCATAGAATCACAGAATCACAGAGTTGGAAGAAACCTCGTGGGCCATCCAGCCCAGCCCCCTGCCAAGAAGCAGGAAAATCACATTCAAAGCATATAGGATATAGTTCAATTACACTAAGTAAAATATTTTATTCTTAGTATTTGTAACAGTCTGATCAATCAATGAACACTCTTTGCATTATTTATTTCTAATGAAATTACTGGAAAATATTTTTTATTCGTGTGAGCATGTGTGTCCTCGAACCCAATCATCAGAAAAATGTTAGTTTTGAAATTCCCCTATTTGCTGGCATTATGTTCATTCACCTAGTTCAGTTTATAAAAATGTGTTCTAAAAGGTATCAGAAGAAAACTGCTGTAAAATTATTCAGAAATAAAAAAAGATTTTCATCCCATGTCACTGGTATCCACACTATCTTCTGTTACTCAAATCAAATATTTAACTTTTTAGTCTTACTCAAATTAAATCTAAGAAGGAACAAAAGCTAGCTATATCTTTCCATATTCCTCTACAAATTCAAATTACTACTGAGAATATATGAAAGAAATGAAGAATGAGGAAGTTGCAATAGGACCTGGGCAAAAATAAACAATTGTCCTCTCTTAAATGTTGCATCTATTAGTATTTTCTCATCTTTGTTTTTCAGCATGTGTATGTCCTTCTCTTGTGAGTAACAAGTTTGGGATCAGAGCTGATGATGGACTACTTAGAGCACTGCTAAGTAGTCCATCAACTCCTTATTATTATTATTATTATTATTATTATTATTATTATTATTATTATTAACTATATTTCTATACCACTTTTCTCACCCCTGGGGGGACTCAAAGTGGTTTACAACATAATAAATTATTTATTTATTATTTATTTATTTGCTATACTTGTATACCGCCGTTTCTCAGCCTAGCCGGCGACTCAACGCGGTTTACAACAACTTATAACAAACAACAGTATACAGTTTAAAAGCATAAAAACACAATCCACAATACATATATCAATAAACAATCCAATTCATCTCTTGACTAAAATCGCGATCCAGTTTCGTCGTCCAAATTGCCAGTCCTTCAATCATTACACTTATTGCACTGAGTTAACCGAACACCTGCTCGAACATCCAGGTTTTTAGTCTTTTCCGGAATACCATCAATGAGGGGGCTGATCTTACCTCCATGGGGAGGGCGTTCCATAGCCGCGGGGCCACCACAGAAAAGGCCCTGTCTCTCGTCCCCGCCAGCCGCACCTGTGAAGCAGGCGGGATAGAGAGCAGGGCCCCCCCAGAAGATCTTAGGGTTCTGGTGGGCTGATAGGCTGAGATACGTTCGGATAGGTAAGTTGGGCCAGAACCGTTTAGGGCTTTAAAGGCCAGCGCCAACACTTTGAATTGAGCCCGGTAGCAGATCGGCAGCCAGTGGAGCTGGTGCAGCAGAGGAGTTGTATGCTCCCTGCGCTCCGCTCCAGTTAGTATCATGGCTGCCGAACGTTGGACTAATTGGAGCTTCCGGGCCGTCTTCAAAGGCAACCCCACGTAGAGAGCGTTGCAGTAGTCTAAGGGATGTAACCAGAGTGTGGACTACCGTGGCCAAGTCAGACTTCCCAAGGTACGGGCGCAGCTGGCGCACAAGCTTTAACTGTGCAAATGCTCCCCTGGTCACCGCCGAAACCTGGGGTTCCAGGCTCAGCGATGAGTCCAGGATCACACCCAAGCTGCGAACCTGCGTCTTCAGGGGGAGTGCGACCCCATCCAACACAGGCTGTAACCCTATACCCTGTTCGGCCTTACGACTGACCAGGAGTACCTCTGTCTTGTCTGGATTCAATTTCAATTTGTTCGCCCCCATCCAGACCGTCACAGCGGCCAAGCACTGGTTCAGGACCTCGACAGCCTCCTTAGTAGCAGGTGGAAAGGAGTGACAGAGTTGGACATCATCCGTGGTCGACGGTATCGAAGGCCACTGAGAGGTCCAGCAGCACCAACAGGGACACACTCCCCCTGTCGAGCTCCCGGCGCAGATCATCCACTAAGGCGACCAAGGCTGTCTCGGTACCATGCCCCGGCCTAAAGCCAGACTGTGCCGGATCCAGATAATCCGTGTCTACCAAGAATGCCTGGAGTTGTGAGGCCACCACACGTTCCAGGACTTTGCCCAAAAAGGGGAGATTGGAAACAGGCCGAAAGTTGACGAATTGAGTGGGGTCCAGTGATGGTTTTTTCAACAGCGGTTTTATTACAGCTTGCTTTAAGCTGGCTGGAATTTTGCCTTCCCGGAGGGAGGCATTAACCACCACCTTCACCCACTCGGCCAATCCCCCTCTGGCCTCCTTCAGAAGCCAGGATGGGCAGGGGTCTAGGATGCATGTGGTAGCTCTCATTCCTCCAAGCACCTTGTCCACATCCTCGGATTGAACCAATTGAAATGAATCCATCAAAACCGGACAAGCAGATGCTCGTGTTACATCCTCAGAGACTGCCGTTAATATGGTGTCCAGACCAGAGCGGATCAAAGCGACTTTGTCTGCAAAGAACTGAGCAAAGGCTTCACAGCGAACTGCCGAGTCATCAGGGCACCCATCCTGGATGGTGGGTTTTAAAAGGCCTCTGACAACTCGGAACAGTTCAGCCGGACGGTTCTTTGCAGACGCAATAGTAGCCGCAAAGAAAGTCTTCTTTGCGGCTTTTATTGCCGCGGCATATGCCCTTAAAAAGGACACAAACCGTGTTCGATTTGGCTCGCTCGGATCCGAACGCCACACGCTCTCTAGTTCCCTCTTCTTTCGCTTCAACGCTGCCAGCTCCTCAGTGAACCAAGGAGCTGGTTTAGCTCGGCTACTTGAGAGGGGACGTTCTGGAGCGATCGTGTCTATTGCCCTAGCCATCTCCCCATTCCAGAGAGCGACCAGGGCATCAACAGGATCACCAACCGAGGCGGCGGGAAATTCCCCAAGAGCCGTCAGGAATCCATCCGGATCCATAAGCCTCCTGGGGCGGACCAACTTAATGGGTCCTCCACCTCTGCAGAGGTTAGGGGGTGCAATTAGTCTAAAGCTGACCAGGTGGTGGTCGGTCCATGGCAACGGAGAGATGGATAACTCCTCAACACCGCCACCTTCCTCCCATCCCTGGCAGAAAACCAAGTCCAATGTATGTCCAGCACTGTGGGTGGGGCCAGATACCTGTTGGGACAGCCCCATGGTTGCCATGGCAGACATAAATGGCAAATTAAATGCCTCACATATATTTAAAAATATAACATATCTAAATCAATAACATAAAACTGTAGATAAAAACCATTAAAACTATATAAAAATCAAACATAGACATAAGCATGAAACATATTTCCCACTACATTCCGCCTTGTAGTTTAAGATCCACCAGCCTCGCAAATGCATCTGTAGGGGACAAGGGACAGGGTCTTCTTGGTGGTGACCCCTGCTTGTGGAACTCGCTCCCCAGCGAGATTAGAATGTCGCTCTCCCTCCTTTCCTTTAGGAAAAAACTGAAATCGTGGTTTTGGAACCAGCCCTTTGGCTAGCAGGTATAACAGCACTTCGGACACTGAACCAGACTATATGACTGTTACAATAATGGAAACGGCTATATGATAGTATAACTAATGTTATTGTTTTTAATCTATTATGTATTTATGGTTTTATATTGTTATAATGTGTTCTGCGGCATCAAATTGCTGCCAGTGTTAGCCGCTCTGAGACCCCCCTCCAGGGTTGAGAAGGGCGGGGTAGAAATGTTGTAAATAAATAATAATAAATATGTGGGGTGATTGGCAGATTCTTTATTCCTGGAACATTTATTTATTTATTATTTATTTGGGGTTCTTATACCCCGCCCTT